CACACACACACACACACACACACACACACACACACACACGAACATTTTTTTAGGCGATATCTCGACGTTTTACAACAATCTGAATATATTGGCAGAAAAAACTCAAAAACCAATCTCTTCGTTGGTTTCTTCTACCCCTATTTCATATATAATTTTTTAAAATTTGGTTGACTCTAAACCCAACTTAAACGCAATTAAATGTTCATATACGAAATTCACGAAAACAAAGCTTTCTCTATGAGGAAGCAAAAGAAGTACCGTGATCTAGATGTTCGCCTGAAGAATGTCGTTCAACGTTTCGAAGAAACGGAAATTCTTCTTTATCTTTGAGGCGCTGCTCAGAACTTTTTGCTCTAGTTTGTAATTTGTATTGTAAAATTATTGCCTGTTTTTTTTTTCGTTTCGCTATTGGTAGTGTTTGCCATTGAAATATATATTTTGCTGCCGTAATATGCTGTGGAGTTTTTTTTTCCGAAGAAATTTGTATACAGAGAGATTTCATCCATGAGTTTGTCTGGGGAGAATGTCCGAGGGGAATTTGTGTACAGGGGGATTATGTCCGGAGTGAGTTTGTCCGGGGAAAATATGTTCGGGGGGAATTATGTCCTAGAACCGTCCTAGATATTAGAGAAGCGACACTGAAGATGGTTTGATAAATTACGTGATTCAGCGCTATATTGTTTCCTACTAAAATGGTAAAATAAATAAGATTTAATGTTTATAAATATACAGATATATGTATAGACGGTCTGTTCCCCAGATAGCCAAGCGTTCCTTGGCATAAGAAGGGAAATAGTTGTTTGGCATAAGTTTCTTTTCAGTTGTCATCATATTGCTTTCACTGCACCGAGACAATAGTAATTTCATTTAGAGCAACTTAAGAGCATTATGCAGACAACAATTGCCTGCGCAAACGAGCGGAAAGCTTGTAGCATACTTATTGCCATAAAAGTTGCCACAATCTGTTGGCAACCGTTTTCGTAAAATATTTAGTTCACATTTTCACCAATAAAATCGAAATATGTATATATAGGTAGCTATAGCCATGAATAATGATATATATATATATATATATATATATGTATATTACTTTTTGAAAACATTTTTTAATTTGAATCTTCTCTTAATCTATTATATTTTTTATTCCTGGCGTATTCTAGGAAAAATGTACACTTGTTTATTGGGAAAATCAGTCTACTTAATCGATAAATATAAAATATTAAATATATTAAAATAATAAATAGGTTGGTACTGTTGAATATTACATTTATTCTGACATTTTTATCAACTTTAATATTATTAATATAATTCTGTTTTATAATATTACTAATTTTAAATAATTAATTTTAAATTAGCAAATAAACGATTGGATTTAATAGAGCGAAAAATCGATTTTAATGTTATTAGTATAAAAAAATTATTAATTATATATGGTATTTTATGTGTGTATTTAAATATATATCTACTTATAAATTAAATAAAAAAAATATTAAAATTATTAGTCACTTTAACACTGCCCAATATATACTACAATATCCCAATAATAGCGATCAAGGTTAATATTATAGTGGATAGAAGATACAATGAATCTAAAACGAAAATGTCAAATAAACTTTTCAATTCAATGGTTAATATATAATATGGTTAATTATTGAAGCATGGCGATATATTAAAATTCAACGCGGTGTAGGGCCAATAGTGGCGTGACTATGCGTTGTTAATGTGTCATCACGTGGTTGGCTCACCACGTCATCACGTGGTCGGTTTAATTTTTTAACCCTGTATGCTTAGATGATAAATAATTTTATCTTAACACATATTAACTGTTTTTGTTATAACTTACTTTACGTAATCCACGTGAAACTTGTTTATACTATAGTTGCAAAGATGCATGCAAGGATTCCAAATATATTGACTTCCACCGTCATATTTAACAGCTGCAAATCTCACTAAACCTTCTTCATATAAATAAATTAGCAGAGGATCGTAATTCGTTACAGCGACGTAGAGACGCAAATCGCATTTATGTCCGTCGATTAAAAGCGGATTATTTATGTATTGCGCCACGATGACTGATTCATCTGTCAGGATCTTCTCAGGCTACAACAATATAGTAAGAAATAGGATACAAATGGAAGGTAGTATTATATACTTCGCAAAGTGTCATTAGTTTAAAAATTGAATTCATACTCAAGTAAATAATTGTAAAGCTTGATGTAGTCTAAGCATCAAGATTATACATGTCCATGGCTACTTTATAATCTACAAGCACTCTGTTGGCTTAATCAAAGCCCTCAAATTATTATTACAGAAAATAATAGTAAATTCAGCAAATTTTTTTTATTTAAATACTAAACATATTAAATATGCAACATTTCATAATAAAATAAACAAATTATTTCTTAAATATCCAGCACCAGTAAATAACGTGACATTGTCTAAAAGATTCAACCACGTCAAATATGTAATTGCATTATAATAAAATTAATAAAAGACAATTAATAATCTTGATTATAATGACATAATGACCTTACAAAGAATAAAGAAACTAAAAAACATTTATACATATTTTAAATATATTATGTCGTATCCTTAGAAGAATACTGTAACAACTCAAAAAAATTTTATTTTGAGTTAAGCCCATAAAAAGTATACCTAAAATATTATGTTGCGGTCACTAAATGTCATAAATGAATTGGCAAGTGAATCACACCAGACTTTTTCACACAAGAAATAGTATAATTTTTATTACAACAAAATACCGTAATTGTAATTACGTTAATTATCTCACTATTCAAAAAATTAAATTAAATTTGTTTCTTCTCTCTCCTAAAAATTGTGAATTTTTAAGTTGCGACAGTATGCATACGATATATAATGGTCATTTTAATTTAAAACATTAATTAGCACTTAGTTGTGCAACATTTATATACTATGTAAAGACAAGCATATACATAAGTTATTACAAATAAAAAATTAATATATAACTATGTTTAATAGATTTATAAAAGTATTAATATATTAATGGTTAATATGCATAAAAGGTCAAACGTTACCGATGACTTTGACCTTGACATGTGTTGTCAAGGTCATCATCCTGAGTGACCTTCAAAAGGTTTTAGCCGGCGATCGTTGTTTATTAAAAAGTTATTAATGAAAGAAGTTTGAGAAATATAGCATTGCAGTGTTAGGCTGTTCTTCCGAAAACGTCCGTGCTCCGATTTAGATCATCAAACTTTGTAAATAGGTTCCTTTTACATAAAAAAGACATATACCAAAAGGATATTTAGCGACTCAAAAGTTAAGTAACTTTTTTAACCTACTGTCTCCATGCATACACACCATGCGACACGAGTTGCCATATGGGTTTACAACTTCCTACGCGTGGAAAGTCCACGCATGTACTTTGCAAGGCACAATATGTGTCTAATTTAACGGTAGTGGAGCCCCCCACAGAGGGGTGGAACCTATTGCTTCCACGCATACACTTTCCACGCGAGACGAGTTGCTACATGGGTTTAAAACTTTCCACGTGTGGAAAGTTCACGCATGTACTTTTCCATCCACACAACAATTGGGTTGAGTTAGGTTAGTTTTTTGGAGGTAGACCCTCCCGCAGGGGGGCTGAACCTCCACGCATACACTTTCCACGCGAGACGAGTTGCCACATGGGTTTACCACGTTTCTGATTTTCTGAAGTTTCGCCAATTATGTTTATGTTATGACTTTGACGGGTATGACTTTACGGATGTTTACATTACTTGCGAGCTGTATTGGTTCTAAGTGTATGCATGGAGGCAATAGGTTAAAAATGTTAAAAAAGTTACTTAACTTTTGAGACGCTAAAAATCCTTTTGGTATATATCTTTTTTATCTAAAAGAAACCTATTTACAGAGTTTGACCTAAATCTAAGCATGGATGTTTTCAGAAGTTTCGCCAAGTCAAGTTTAGACAGCATTGTACATACTGTCCACGCAAAACAAAGTTTACCCTATCTCACCTCACCCCTGCTTACAGCGGGCGAAACAAAGTCTATCATTGTACGGTACAGGTTTTCAACTTTCCACGCAAAAGGAGGTCCACCCCCCACCCCCTTCTTGCTTGCGGGAAAGGGGCGTAGCCTTTCCCTCGCCTACATGTGTACTGTTTATACACATATATCAGCAAATTACTTCCTTTAGCACTAACACAAGCTGTTAGATATTTTAAACTTTTTTGTTCATAACTTTTTAATAAACAACGACCGGGTAAAACCTTTTAAAGGTCACTTTTATGCATATTTACCGAAAATTGTTATTTCCGGTTACGCTTGTTAATTGCGGTTGTCAAAAGACAGTTGGCGAACTTTTAACTTTTTTGGCGACAGCAACTGACAATCAGAAATAACACTTTTCAACTAGAAGTTGCCATCGTTCGCGACATATTGCAGAATGGCTCTAATTCAAATGATTTATCGATTTACCCGATTTACCGACATCCTATTTTGTTCATTTTGACAGTAATGTTGTCATAATAAATTTAAGAATTAAATCGACAATATGTGTGAGAGAGGCAATAGGAGCCCAGCGCGATGCTCAGTGCGCAATAAATTTACCACGTGTACATATAAAACAATATATTTAGTCGTTAAAGACAAAAGAAACGAATGTTTCGGCCCTTTCTTTGGCCATCCTCAGCGTAAAACTATATCAATTCCGCGCAACGCAATTCCCTACATCCTACCTT